AGCGAGTTAGAAATAAAACCAGTACACCCTATCCTAATTAAGGCTTGGAAATACAATAAATAAAAAATATTTCGTTTTCTCAAATCCTTTTTATTTACACAATGAACATTTTGTTTGTTATAATTAATAATATGGCATTGAAGAGATGCTTTCATAAAAATATATATTACACAAAAAACAAATGTACACAAAAAACAGTCTATTCATGCTATATATTAAAAAGAAATGAACGATTCCGATTCTCCTCAGAATATTGTACTATATCTTAAATTACGACACAAAGCACTCATCAAATTTTATTTTTCGTTTATATAATATACCTAAATAATAATCTACGAACACTTCTGGCTACATACCTAAAACCAGATTATTTTAGTGCACACTTATATAGCTGGAAAAATTACATTTACGATGGAAATGATATTTCAATAACAATATCATTTGGATCCGTACGGAAACGCCACCAACCACAAGGGAGACAATTTTTTCTATTATGTCATATATACACGTGTATGTATATATTACATGTAATGATGTCTGTATAGAGTGGAACCCAATAATTTAAATAAGCCTTTAACAGCTACAGTGGAATTGATAATGATAAAATCATAAATAATATTAAAAAAAAAAAAAAAAAACTAATTAAAATAAATAAAATACAAACCGTGGTTTTATTCGAATACGCTTTCTTCGCTATCGTCAGGTAGGGCTTCAAAATTCATGTTATCACCTCTTGTCCTTAAAACAAATAAATAATGTAAACAATTTTAATTTCGTATTTATATCAAATATATTTCCATAAGGTAGGTTCATATACACGCGAAATACGAATTGCGAATATTGTTGTTATTGGTCAATTTCAAAAAAATACAGAGGCAAAATTGACAGAAAGTTATTTTAGTATTTTGCGAATTCACATAGTTTAAAACCTGGGAGTTATTGACACTGACTTAATTTTTGCGAATATTCGCTGAGAGTTTTTTGGGTATAATGTCATCTCCTGTCATTTATTTCTTGTTATCGTTATAATAAAATAAACATTGGTTAAACTGAAAAGGCACGAAAAAATTGTGCGTAATCATTATTAGGTACTTATTAATTATTACTTTGTTTAATTATTATTTTACGTAATTTTCGTTTTTTAGCAATTTTCATAGTCTTTTTACAGTTCTTTTAAGAACTAAATTTTATATGTATATTTTTGTATATTTTACACTGAAAGTTGGAAATTAAGTGATTTTTAACATTCAATCAATTCAGATTCTCCTAGTAATAATTCACAAAAGGTTGTCAGTAAAAGTTACTATTAGTTATTCTATTGTACAGGGTAAGTGTGGTGAGGAAGAATGTTGGTGGAAGTTAGAACAAAAAAAATTTTTTAAAATAATGGATCACCTCAATATTCAAGCTGATCCACATATCTTAAAATTACTATTTATTTCTTTAGTATATTAAAAAATATAAAAAATAACGACCTAACCTTCTAAATATTAAAAGGGAAAACATAGTAAACATTTTAAAGCCTACAAAACAATATAAAAAAACATTCATAAACACAAGATTACTTATTGGTACAAGTTTTTTTTAAATAAAGTTCTTCATTGTGGATAAAATACAGTATGCCCGAATTTTCTTCAACGGGATTTATTCGTTTTTTCAAACCCGCTACTTCAAGCATATCAAAACGTTTAATAAGTTTATAGTCACTAAGTTCCTTAATATCTTTTTCTCTTGCATGCTTAACTTTTGCCGTGACTTCATTATATTGCAAAAATGAAAACAAGCACTATTACATTCCTTGCGAGTGCCAGTTTACCTTAATTTTTAACACAAAATTTCTTCCATATAAATACCGCACAGCACTTTTTACAACGATAGCAAAACAATTATATATAACCACTAAAAACAAAGCGAATTTACGCCAGATGTCTGTCAACGCCGGCAACGTTTAGCCCAATTTAATGATATCTTTATATTGGCTATTATTCAACTTATCCTTATTTGTCCTTATATTTTACAACATGTGGCAACCGCGCTAACTGAATCTTTCAAAATCACTGCTATCGTCCAGGGAATGCTAACATTCACTAGTAAAAGTTGGTTTCAAAAATAGCTGTTGAACTTTTACTGGCGTAATCTTAGCAAATCAGTGAATGGTGAGCTTTTACTAGTAATCGTTAACGATCACTGATTTCCAACTTTTACTGTAACATAAACATAATACCGCATAGTAGGCTGGCAAAGGTTAGTCTTGGGTCGAGATTTCCGTATGTAAGAAGAGTGCAATGCGTTAATGGTAATAATAAATAAGAACAAAGAGAGAACAGCGAACACGTTGCCAAACGCATGAAATAAACCTAGAAACTGTGTACATATTGCTAAGAGACGTGGAAGGAGATATAGCAGATTTGTCGCATTCGAGCGGCCGACCCAATCAGTACTGACAGAGGTCAGACTTAAAGTTCTAGAGAAAGGTGTAAATCATGCGTTCAGCTTCACGATTTAATTGCGTCTCGTGATACTCTTTGTTTATTTATTAACGAGTCGTTGTAATTTTCCCTATATCTTGAAAATTTGAAGTGCAAGCTAGAAACACTTGCATTTTTGGTAATAATAAGTGGAATTGAGTTGGTGTTCATTGGGACAGTGGTCGCGCTATTAGAACTCTGAATTCAAAAATCGATATCTCGAAATCTATTAGAAATAAATTGATTGTAGTTTTTTCAAAAACTTTCTTAATATTTCTGCTATATTTTCTTCGCAGACAATACAGGGTGGCCCATCGAAAACGTTCCGCAAGGCATAACGGCCTGGGTAATTTTTTTTTCAGAAAATTCAAAAACACGTCAATTTTGTTTGTGAGGGGGACAACTTTTGCCCCAAAAATGATGGCAAAATCTTCAATGCCCTAAGTGGGGGTGTCATCTCCCAATTTTTATCAAATGGGAAGGGGGGTCAAGTGGTACCGCAATGAAAAGGGCTTTCTATTCTCTATACTTTCCCGCTTCGTTTTTGAAAATCGGTCGAGTTATTGAGAAAATCTGAAGGATTGAAATTTGAAAAGTTTTTTAAACATTTATCAGAGTAAATGATAAGGATAAATTCCTTCGACCAATTTGCTGTTTTTTCTTATTATTTCTAGATGTTTACGTATTTTTCACTTGCCACAAGGTTGAACGATCAGGTGCGGTAGTTGCTAGATAGCTGTTCTGTGACTTGTGCGTTGAATTCTTCCTCAATATCGTTTAAACTTTTTAACAATTATGGTGTAATCACTTGCAGAAAAAATTAGAAATAATTGAACTTTATGTTAAAATAATGAATGTGGCAATCGGGTTGCGCAGATATTCAATGAACGCCATCCTGACAAACATCTTTATGGCAAAATTGTTCGCGAGTTAGTAGCAAAGTTTCATGAAACTAGTTTATAATATAATAAAAATAAAATAAAATAAAAAAGAGCTGAGGAAAATCCTGTAGTAAATGAAGCTATGGAGGTATTCGGTATAGGGTGAAGTTGCCATGGATACTACGCTGTGAGTACAAGAAAATTAGCCAATGAGACCGACGTGAATCGTACAAGTGTCCAAAGGATATTAAAAAACACAAGTTCCACCGTTACAAAATTCAGTTGGTACAAGAACGTAACGAAGACGATTTTGATCGTCGCTTGCAATTTTGTGAAACTATGAGTGAACGAGTGGCGAATGATAATAATTCCTATTTAATGTGTGTTTTAGGGATGAGTGGTCTTTTGAACGGTGTAGTTAATTGGCACAACTGTCCGTATTGGGCTGAGGACAACCCCAGGGTTTTTCACAAGGTGCACACAAAACCCTCAGAAATTGAACGTGTGGGCTGGTATTTTGGAAATCCTATTGTGGGTCAGTTTAACGATATTGAAAAGAACTTCAATGCACAAGTCACAGAACAACTATCTAGCAACCACCGCACCTGATCGTTCAACCTTGTGGCAAAGTGAAAAATGCGTAAACATCTAGAAATAATAAGAAAAAACAGCAAATTGGTTGAAGGAATTTATCCATCATTTACTCTGACGAATGTTTAAATAAACTTTTTCAAATTTCAATCCTTCAGATTTTCTCAATGACTCGACCGAAATTCAAAAACAAAGCGGGGAAATATAGAGAATAGAAAACTCTTTTTATTGCGGCGCCACTTGACTCCCCTTCCCATTTGAAAAAAGTTGGGGGATGACACCCCCGCTTAGAGGGTTGAAGATTTTGCAATCATTTTTGGGGCAAAAGTTGTCACCCTTACAAACAAAATTGACGTGTTTTTGGATTTTTTGAAAAAACAAATACCCTGGCCGTTATGCCTTGCGGAACGTTTTCGATGGGCCACCCTGTATGTGAAAATCTGTATAAATAAAAAAGTTACACGATTGCTGAAAATTGCTATGCACTAAAAGTAAATGGATGGGTTTAAAATTTTTGAAAAAAAAACAACCTTATCGAATTTTTCTTATTTAAGCATGTGGTAAAAGATCCGATCTTCAAAATAAAAAAAAAGTTTCAATATCTAAAGTGGGTCTTAAGTTATAGTGTGTTATGTGTTAAAAAGTTAAGTTTTTAAATTATCGCGATTACAGCCGTTTTTTCGTTATAAAAAAATGGATACTCTAACGATATCCTTATAATTCGATTTCAGATGCTCCGAAACATATCTAATGTTATCTAGTTATCTTTTCGAAAAAAAGTTTAAAAATAAGCGGTGTGCGATCGTGATTTTACTTTACTTGATAGGGAAAGGCGTACCGGCAACGCCGCAACAGCACACCGTCGCATTTCTCTCACTCCGACTTAATAAGATCCCTATGCGATTTACTTCCACAGATGTAAATACCGACCCAAAAGTAACAGTTTCCAGCACAGTATACGTAAAATAACGACGGAAAAGACTAAATACTTTTAAAGTAAAATATCAAACAACTGGCACTAATGTCAAATATTCTTCCATTGAACAGACTAGTGAACACACTAATATGATGGCTTACCCGAATTACTTTCCGATGGATACTCGTCCAGAGCTGGCGATAAAGGACTTTCCTCCGGATCCACGGTATTTCGACCGATGGCGGGATCGAACGCCTCCTTAATCTGGTTACTGGCTCCTTTCGGATCCAAGTCTGTGGCCCAGCTGAAGTGTTGCAACGCTAAATCGGTGTTGCCTAATTTTTTATGCACTTTCCCTAAATGAACGAATAATATTAAATTAGTACTGTTACTAAAGACAAATCAAGCTGGGTGTATACCTATGAGGTAATAAACTGAAGATTCTTTGGGTATGATTTCTTTGAGTTCTTCTAATTCTTTGAGAGCTTCGACGTGCCTGCCCAAGGCGAAATAGACCGACGCTCTATGGAACTTGCACAGTGGAGATTTGGGGTTACTAGCGATTGCTTTGTTAAATGTGGCAAGCGCCTTTTCAGTCTAAAATAATACAAAGCATTTATAATGAAATACACTAGTCATTAGGGTGAGTCAAAAAAATCGACTATTTTTATTTTCACTTTATACTCCGAAAAAAAGGTTGGTTGTCAAAAAAATTCTCTCCAAGTATGAGCTCTTAATTTAATAGGAAGGTCCTCTGCCTTTCATTTTTCTTTTTTTTTCTTAATTTTAGAAAGAAAAATTCATATCTCGGTATCTACTATTTGGACAAAATACAGGGTGAATCCTGTAAGTCGGTCATGCTTTCGAGGAATGATAGGGGACGTCGAAATATTAATTTTGATATAGCACACTATGGGTCGGAAATGCCTCTTACGCAAGATACAGGGTGTTAAAGTTTTTGAAAAATTAAAGATATTCTTTAATAGTTTTTTAACAGTTAAAGGTATCGTTATAAAATTTCATTATAGGAATCTACATAGTGCTACAGAGATACTTTAAATGTAAAAAGAAGAGGTTTTAGTTTCAACCAGTGGCGTAGCTGTGATACGCATCGGGTAATTTTTTCAAAAAAAAATAATACGCCACTGATAAAAATAAAAATTTCGGAGTTTTTTTATTTACTCGGTTTATTTCAAAAGAAAAATGTCTCTTGCAACTTTCTCCTATCTAACACCATTTTGTCACAATTTAAAAATAAATAAATTTTTAATGAGAATCTTAAATACAGCGAATTATTATAACTAGAGGGCAGAAACACATGTGCATCGTTAGCTCCCTTCATCTTGGGTAACTTTAGTACTTTTTACTATTAGCTCTAAATAAATTTTTAAAAAATTATAAACTGAATTTTTTTTATTGTTGATAATAAAATTCGTAGTTTTAAGGTAGTTATAATAATTCGCATATGTAAGGTTCTCATTAAAAAAATCTTTTTTTTTAAATTGTGACAAAATGGTGTTAGATAGAAGAAAGTTGCAAGAGAGACATTTTTTCTTGGAAATAAACCGAGTAAATAAAAAAAACTCCGAAATTTTTATTATTATCAGTGGCGTACTATTTTTTTTTTGAAAATATTACCCGATGCGTATTACAACTACGCCACTGGTTGAAACTAAAACCTCTTCTTTTTAAAATTATAGTGTCTCTGTTAGGCAGACTCCTATAATAAAATTTTATAACGATGAACTGTTAAAAAAGTATTAAAGAATATCTTTAATTTTTCAAAAACTTTAACACCCTGTATCTTGCGTAAGAAGCATTTCCGGTCCATAGTGTGCCATATCAAAATTAATATTTCGATGTCCTCTATCATTCCTCGAAACCATGACCGGCTTACAGGACTCACCCTGTATTTTGTATAAAAAATATTTCTCATATATTTGTAGGAAGCTGAATTCTCTACAAAAAAGGTCTCTTATCAGCGCGTATCACAATGATTTTTTGTTAAGAGTCTATTAAGCTGTACTGTTCAGGTTGCTCTCAGGGGTCGGGTAAAGCGGATGTTTGACCGAAAGAAATATATATTAATAAGGCTTAGCCCGATCCTGTCGTGTTAAGCCACATTCAAAATTCCAAACACACCTGCTTTGATTAATACTTGATTAAGGTTTGCAGAGCTTCAGCATTTGCCATAAAATAGCGAGCAATTTGTTACAAAACTGTATAAATTATATATCACTGTAATTACAAAACTTCAATATATTTCCGTATTGTAACGGAATTTTAAATTATGTCTTTATTTTCGAGAAAACTTAGTCCAAACATAAGGAATATTTTGTTGTTTGACCATCAAACTCTTAAAAATAAAGAAGTTGTCTAAAAATGTGCTACAATACGGATATAGTATAATCCTTTATCTTTAGTTTTCTTCTTCATTTGTGTAAAAATACCTAGCCAGTTTTACATAAAACGTTAAATGCCGAACGCTTATTTTGGTACTTTTCCGAACTAGTGAAATGGACTAAAACTGTGCTCGGAACGAGTTATAAAATTCAAAAGGAAAAAGAAAACTGCCTTAAAATAATCAAACTTCAACCTTTAATAACTTTCGAACGGTGAGGTTTACAAAAAAATTGTAAGCGACCTTTTTTTTATAGAGAATTCAATTTAATACACATATATGAGACGAGATATTCTTTCCAAACAGTAGATACCGAGATATGAATTTTTCTTTCAATTAATAAGGAAGAAATAGAAAACTGACAGGCGGCGGACCTTCCTATTAAAATTAAGAATTCATACTTGGAAACATAGACTTAAAATAAAATATAGACTGAGCATCCCATTCATAAATAGCTGGAACATGCGGTCAGACAATGCCTTGTTATTGTTGTGTTATCGTTTTAGATTATAACGAGTGCGACACGAGCGATAGATAGGTTGTCTCTGTCGTAACGGTCGTTCCCTGACGACTCTAACGAGAAACGCAACACTGTCTTTCGTTTCTCAAGTCAGGTGTACTTGTGTACCGCGTTTAGATGTAAATAGTGTAGTCTATATTTTATTTTAAGTCTATGCTTGGAAAGACGTTTTTTGAGGTGTCTACCAATCTTTTTTTCATAGTATAAAGTGAAAAAAAAAAATAGTCGATTTTTTGTGCTTTTAAAACACCATTACTTGTTTTAAACTTATTTTAAATACTTCTTAAGTGAATGTGTTTTTTCGATAAAAAACAAAAAACTTAATTATTTAATTTAAAAACTACTCTAATACAAAAGGACTAAAAAACAAAGTAATCAATTTAAACTAATATTTTCTAGAAACATTATAATAGAAAAAGTGCCCAACCCTGGAGGTGGGAATTCTAGTTCCTCTAAAGGAATAGGCAATAGTTCCCATTACTACTAATTTTTATAATGTACGAAATATTACGGGAAGTGTAATTGCGTATATTAAAAACATAGGTAAGGTTAGGTTTTATTGTTTTTTTTTATTGACGTTTAAGTAATGTAAAATTTACTAAATTATTTTTTTGAAGTTTGATCGGTCTAGTGGGGTACTTACCCTCATTACCCCTCCCCTAAAACCGCGCTTGGTTGCGACAAAGGCTGTATTCCGTTGCAAAACCAGGCGAACCAGACCGGTAAACTACGGTAAAGAGCCGGTTCCTGAAAAACATCGGTTTGATACGGAACGATTTGGTAAAATACTGGAAACGTCAAATGTTGATGTTTTCTAAATTTCAATACCTCTATTATAAAATTTATCTTTTATGCATTTTTAATGTACCTATTCTCTGCTTTTACGGTTGCACCTTCTTTTCAATGGAGTTTACTATTGAAAAGTACTTTATTAATAAACTGTTCAACTCGTTCGACAGCTCAAGTGAAGATTTGCAGGTCCAATATTAAAACAGATCAATAATAAATAAACAAATCTTATCAATATTTATATTTTTATAGCTTACAAAACATTCACGATTACTTGTCTTGTTTTTTATGTTTTCTTTAAAATGTTCCTGACTTTAAGAAACAATGGCTGCATGATAAGTTTAAATTGTCCTAA